AGCAGGAATACTCTTTCTAGCTGATTATATCAAGACTTCGAATGTAGTTAATTTGATGGAAGGAAAATTGAAAGATGAGTGGCCAAAGTGTAGATCCAAGGAAATAAGTTGGCGCTTCGTAAAGCATGCAGTTGGCAGGCAACACGCTTGTCGATGAGCTCTCAAGAGAGCTTTTACCTTGCAAGCTTACGCAGGTGTCGGCTCGGAAGTTTCGCGTTAGCGTAGACTTTAATACTCGAATCCGAGCATAAAACTGTTCTAATAATGCCAAGTCACATATTAATCTTGTAAGATTGGTATATTCTATTTCTTTTTTTTAGTTGAGATTACGATCATTGCTGATAGGAGCTTGTGATAATTGACAATGTAAATCGTCAATTAAAGAACGACTTTAGGTTCGTATCGCTTGATTAAGTAATACAGCTTTCACTGACATGAGTTATTTTACTTGGATAAAAGGGTACTTTTGCTTTTTCCTTCTGCATTGTAAAAATAATGCTACACTCAGAAAATACAGAATAATGAAGCAAAAGAATGGCAGAGATGAAAATAGATTCAACGAGTTTTCAAAAGAATATTCCTTTCAATTTCAGCACAGTGAAATCAATCGCATTAACGCAATATTTTGTATTTGCTTTTATTCGAGAAGAATCCGTGCTATTTCGAAAGAAGGAAAAGTTATGTTTATGAAGTATATGTTTTGCAGTCTCCAATTGTTCCTTCTATAACTAAAGCGAACACAATACGACTTGTTCTTTTTATGGTAATTAGCCGCATATACGTATAGACAAAAGGATTAACATAAGTGATTGGTTTGCTTTTCTTACTTCAAGATTGTAATCTATAAAACTATAACGCCTAAAAATATAATAAACATTAATGGGCAAAAAAAGAGCATAAGATGTATTTATTACGGAAAAATTAATTTAATTATATAATATCTTTAATAACATCATGAATAATATATATATTATTCGATTGTTTTTTTGATTTATCATAAATTTTTACACTATTTTACTTTCAAAATATACATTAACCTTGAAAAATAATATCAAAAAAATTAAAATTAAAAATTGATCATTTTAATATTTTTGTATTATTATTAAATAATCAAAAGTTTTAGATTTTTAAATTTAAATTAATTTAAAAAATTCATGTACAAATTTTCTCATTAAACAAATTAGGATTAATTATTAAATAAGATTACCAAGAAATTTTAACGGATTCAAAACAATGGAATATTTCATTATTGATTCGATAAAGTTAAATAATTTAGTAGGAAACATAGTAGTGCCTGATTCATAAAAAATTCAATAAAAAAATTATTCTATACTTTCTATCAAAATAAATATTAAATTTTATGAAAATATTTTATAGTATTTAAAAATGATACAATGTATAATAAGAATTTACCACTATTATTTATTGCTTGATACTTTTATTTTTAAACTAATTAAATAAACGTTTTTGCTAAATTCATCAAATAATGAGTCTTTAATTAATACTGTAATAATTTAAAAGATGGTAAGTCTGAAGACTTGTTATATCTATAATAATTCGAATGATAGTTTTTACCCATAATTATGCTTTTGAATAGTCGTATTTAATTAAAATATTATGGTACTTATTTTATGTTGTACACATTGTACATTATGAACAAAAATACTTATAGTTGATCAGCTTTTAGTGTTTATATAATTATTTGTCAAAAATGTCATATATAAAATTTATGTACAGCATTGAAAGATTAATTACTTGATTAATCATTCCTTTCAATTACTAGATATTTCTGAGCATTATTATGAAGTCGTTTACAAAACACTAAAAGGGATCAATAAAAATCATTTAAAAGACAGGATTGCTTATATTGTGCAAACCAATTTGCCAGCACCAATTTTTATTATGAATAATTTACTAGAGGTATTTTACGATTTGTTCAAGTTTTTCCAATATATGAAAATTAATATATCTAAATTCTTTGTTTTTATATCCTATTAAGTAACTAAACATTTTAATTTCTAAGTTGCTTGCTGTAAACAGTGGAAATATATTATCAAGGAGTATTTATTATTGTATATAAATAACATTTGTTTAATGAAAAAATAAAATATCCTGCACATTAAAAGAAGTTTATTTAACGGTAATTTTTTTGATAATTATTTAATTCGGTGCATAAACAATTTTAATTTTACGTTAAAATCTCTTTACTTTCAGGATACAATATGAAAAAATTTTATTATTGATTTTTTATGTTTCACATATATGTAAGAGAATAGAATTAGATATTAAATGGATTTATAAGATCAAAATTGAAGAAGAAAATTCGTTTTTTTTTACTTGTCGATTTATCGACGATGGGTCATTATTATTTGGCAATGTTACTATTATATTGGTAAAAAGTAATACCAAGTGACAAAAGCAGCATGGCATCATGAAAATATTTATCTCTATAAAAATTAAGTAACAACTGCCCTTATTGTTTGTTGGACTTGAATCAATGATGCATAACTTTTCCAAAGGTATTTTCAGCGTTTAAAATTATAATTACTTAAGGAATGACTTTAATCGAGTAAAATCGAGTAAATTACATTGGCAGAAGATCGATACGATTCTTGACCAATTGACTGTGACGTAAGGCGATGTACTCGTACATAGCCGATGATTATCAATAATACGACTTCTCAATACCATAATGATTATAGTGCATATTTAGAAGGAACCTGACCTTAGATCGTCGTTAGTAGTTTATTACACAATACAATTTAATGTCAGAGGATACTAATTAAATTTCTTTGCAGAAAACCGTCTCTGTATTATTATACAATTGTTGACATTTGAAACTAAAGCTGATTTAACAAGCTTTTATCAGACTGTAGGAACTTGCATTGATGATCGGAGTATTGTGCCATTGAATTCTTTTTCTACAAATACAAATGTTTATTCAAACAGAGGAGTGCCATTCAAAGGTCTTTTGGTAGTGAAAGTACGAATATTTCACAGAGTTATATTCTCTAATGTTTGACTCAATTCTTCATACGCGTTTATTAATTTATGTATTGTTAATTTAATATTAAATCAATATGCATAAGAAATATTAATTCTTAGCCAATTAATAATCGCGGTTTTTTAACAACTATTTATTCTTCTACAAATTAGTATGTATATTTGGTTTTAAGAGAAAAAAATATTCACAAGTAATCATTTTCTTTTTTTTTAGCAATATACACTTTTCCCTTTAATACTTATATATTATTCTTCTTAAATACAAAATACAAATACTAATTTGTTGAAGACTAAATAATCGTTGAAGGACAGCGATTGTAAATTGACAAAGAATTAAAATTTCTATAATATTACAATTTCATCTTAAATAATATATATGTATATATACAAATAACAAAAATTGTAATAAATATATTTCACAAATATGTAAAGATATTCTAAATATAGTAAATATCATTCGCATCGATTTCTCATTGGCTAATAGCGACAGGAATGAGCAAAGCAAGCGGGGCCGTAACAAGTAGCTTCGTGTAATAGGGTGGGAGCTTCCTTGCCCAATAATGAATGCGCCTCCATTAACTAAACTGACGTTTTCAGGTCGACCAGGCACGGATTACCCGGTGCTCGGCCGAGTCCCATACACACAATTCTACTGCGACGATCAGTCGTATCCCGGTTTCTTTGCGGACGTGGAGACGCGCTGCCAGGCCTGGCACTACTGCGACATTGATGGACGACAGGCAACCTTCCTCTGCCCCAATGGCACGCAGTTCAGTCAGGCTGTCTTTGTCTGTGACTGGTGGTTCAATGTGCGCTGCGAGCTCAGCCCCAAGCTTTACGCGATCAACAGCAGACTCTACCAGCGCTCGACCGAGAGCCCGACCAGGCCCCACCGTGTCATCACTAAGGAGCTTCTCGAGAACATCTTCGCCAAGTGAGAAGACATGGGCGATATAAGGGCGAGTGGCCAAGCCTTCGAGTCTTCAGCGTGCGAAGTTCGATCGATTTAGGATCACAATCATATCAGTTGATCAATTGCAGCACTCTTTTGTTACATTATTAATGTAAACTCTTTTCGTATTTACATTTATTTGGCTTTCTATTATTAAAAATACGCTTCTTTATTATAAAAGTAATGAAAATGAAAATTGAAAAACAACGATAGTTGAAAACACTAAATTATTAAAGAAAAAACAAGCAAATTAAAAGTAAAGAAATTAACACTTTCGGTAATGTGCTCTATCCCTATAATTGAAAACGGCCACAATCAAAGCGACTATGAATAATTCCAGTTATTAATTCCATTCATATTTTCATTATTATTTCATTATTATTATAAATATTATTATTATTATTATTACTATTGTTAATGTTAATATTAGTATTAGTAATCAGGGTATTATCGCTGTCGTCGTTATCATCATCATTATTATCATTATTTATGCAATTTATAATTCCAAAAAACTTAGTTAACAGTATACAGAAGTACCTTAAAAAGAACAAGCAGTCCTTACATAATTTAACTAGCTATCCCAAAGCTATATTTCAAGATATCCATATTTGAAACACATTATTTGATTTTTACTCGTTTATCAAAAAAAAAAAAAAAAAAATAAAAATAAAAAACATTAAGAAATATCTGTAAGCAACAGGACGTATTATATATTTATTTGTTATTTTATTGATTATATATCGAAAGCTTCTCTCTACATTTTTAAATTTATTTAAAAGCTTTATATCATTTTATCATTGTTATATTAAAGTATTTTATCATTATTATCATTTTAAGTAACGTTCTTATGATAAATGAAATATTTTGATCAAAACTACGTAAATATTTTGGTACGTAAGTATGGACAGATTATTGTATTTTTAATAAGACTCAAGTAATTAACTCTCTTTATTCTATTCTAGAATCATCTTGTTTGTTGTTTCTATTTATGGTGCGTACTTTATTAAATGTAGACAAGTTCAATGATATCCTGAGTATGTACTCACAATTGCTTAACAACACCGACAGTAATTATGAAGCCAAGAGTTGAAAGCTAAAAAATGTTTCTTTACATTCTACTCCTTTTGTAGAAGTTGAAAAAATTTTTTTTCGTACAACATAATTCATATTTCAATCTTCTCAATTCTCACTCTTTTGAGTATAAGCATTAATTTTATTATTGAAAACTAATTAATACAGCCAGTAATAATTTGTTATATCGTTAGGTTAAATAAAACATTAAACAAAAATTCTCTATCATAATAATGTATAGTTAATGTATGATAAAATTAACAATAAGCTCGTCAATCTTATGTACCATACGTAATATGATTTTTAAAATAAATAAAACGTTCACTTTCACAACAAATTTTAAGAAAGCCTAAATTTGAAAATTGTATCTACAAGCATCCTTTCTGTCTTTGATGAATGATTTAATAATAATGTCTTATTACATTGGTACATGATTTTATAAAATATGACTTTTAGTAGTAACTGAATAAATATAACATTTTAGAATATATCTTTTAATGTATAGATAAATATTTGAATTTGGAATGTAAAATGTTAAATAAAAATAAAATAAAATTATTTTGTATTACCTTTGTTAATATTCCTTCGAAAAAGGGAGGAATATAGAATTACTTTTAAAAAATTATGTAAAAGAAGAAATATAAGAAAAAGTACAAATAGTTTATAAATTATCATATAAACCTATATTGCTATAAATATAGATAAAAATAACAATAAAAGCCATACAATGTTATTACAATTTTTTGTATTGTTCACAAGTATATTCTAAGTTTCTTTTCTGCAAAAATATGTAAAAATGTAGAAATAGCGAGTACAATTACAAGTAAAAATTTTAATTCATGGTCGTCTTATTTTTATTTTATGATCACTTGAACGTAACTATTGTATATATATTATGTATTATATACAATATATATTATATATTATATATTATATACGTATATATATATATATATATATATACTTTGCTGAATATCAATTATGATTTTTATTGCACTATAACACTCGAGTGAAAATATCATTATTTCTTTTCTAAAGTTGATAGATATGAAAAATTGGAAAGTAGATTAAACAAATGTATACAAATAACGAATGCGTACCTCGTATAATGAACGAATATCGATTATAACCACAAACTTTATAGAATTTCATATTACTTTACAGTACATCAACACAATATGTATTTGATAATAAATGCAAATTACTTTTATCAATTTATAAACGTATTATATTTTATACTATTATTTTATATTTCAGAGTAATTATAACAATATAAATTGATTTTTTTATGCGACATATTTTTGCCTTAAATTAAATAAAAAAATTGTAAATGAATTTATATAAATATAAGTATATAGAATTGTATTGTTGATAATTGAAAATAAATGTCTATGTTATATATGAAACTTGAACGAAAAGTGAAAATTGTACACATAAAATTGTATATTATAACAACTGTATTTACTATTACTGATCTAAGAAATTTTCTCCTTATATTTTCTTTTATACTTACAATCACAATTAAATAAATTTATAGTAATAAGTACAAATGATATTATAGAAATATTTATATTAGTAACATAAAAAGAAAAATTAAATATATATTTATTTTAATAAAATACCATAATTGGAAAGTACATTAAAATAGTAGTGAAATTCAATATATTATTTCACAAAAACTTCATTAAAAATTTCAGCGATAGAATCTGTTGTAAGAAAATTACATTTTATGTAAGTGGTGTGTTTTAAGAAAATAATATTATAACGCATAAAAATATAAATATGACAATCTATAAACACAATTTATAAAAATTAAGTTAATATGTGCATATCGATAGAAATTGTAAAGTGAGAATTAAAAATATAATATTTTTAGAATTCATTGTAGGTAATTAAATTTTTTTTGTAGTGGACATTACAGAATTAAAAATAAAGTATTATTTGTTTGTTGTATGTAATTTCTCTAATATTGAAAATTTTAATTTTGTTCCTTTGATATCGCCAAAGAAAAATAGAGAAGTCTTTTTTGAAATCTATGCAGGACAAAAAAGGTGGAGTTCCGTAGAGGTAGAGAATTTTCCCCGTGATTTACGATTGAACACATGAAGGGAGTGAGCAAGCTATCATTTCCAATCCTCTGAAATTTCCGTTACTCTTGTCCCTCTTACTACTGTACTCATCTACTTGAACATTTCCAGTAGCACGAGCGTTGAAACAAATAACTTAGAAGGAGGACGAAGACATAAATGTGAGGAGCGGTGCAATATAAGTAAAAGACAATAAGGAAGAAAGGAAGATATGGATAATGAGAAAGAGAGAGAGAGAGAGAGAGAGAGAGAGAGAGATAGGGGTTGTTTCAACTTTACGTGATACCTGGATATTTTCAGAGTAACCTGTGAAGGAAAAGATATATAGATACATATATTCCGATTGCCTCAGGTGTATCGGATTTCGTGAGATTCAGTTGGAAGGCGATGGCGTCCCGATCAAGCGGAGGCGTTTATACAAAATGGCTATAAAATTCGATCGACTGCTGAAGCTGAGAGAAGATATGAGAATTTGAAAGATATGCATGTTTGTATCTGCCACGAAAATATCACAAAATACTGAAAGGCTATATTTAAATATTATTTACTCTAATATGCTTGTATATATTCACACATGTATGCACCCACGTACACGCTTATGCATATACACTTACTAAATTTTATTTCTGTCTAAACGAGAATACAATATTACTTATCGAAAGAGAGAGAATAATACAAATCTTTAGGGTCTTGGGGATTTCCATCATGAACTCCAGAAAATAGTAGCATTTTAGTATCAAAAAGTGGAAAAAGAACTTTGAGTTCGATATGATGCTTATTACTTTTCAAATCTTACTTATTCAGTCGATAAACAAAAATTGTATATGATATTTTTATACTTTTATATTTATAAATATTATATATGTATATATGTAATATAGGGCTATCGATACAATACATTTTGTTATACAATTGCTTAATTAAAAAAATGGTGAAACAATTTCCATTGATAAAAAAATTTTTCGACATACATGATAATATGATATAGTAAGTTTGAAACATCATCTTTTGTTTTAATATATCAATTCAAAAAATTAAAAAATCAATCAATCAAGCATAAGATTATAAATGCTTATATATATTTACGCTGTATAGTATATTAGTACTGTTTATATTACTGTATAATATACTGAATATTTAAGTATTCGATAAAGTATATGAAATAAAAGTAGACTATTTTTAATTATATATATTTAAGTATTCGATAAAGTATATGAAATAAAAGTAGACTATTACAGTTAAGACGTTCTTAAAAGCAAATTTTATTAAAAATATTCAAAATATAATTCAAATGTGTTGGTATGTAAGAAATAATGAACCTAGTAAAACATTGCTTCAAAATAAAAAAAAAATCTACTCAATTAATTATTTTAATGCATTCAAACTATTTGCTAAAATTATAATAACTTAAAGAGATAAATTTCATTATAGCTTGGTTTGTATCTATATAGAGAGAATGAAAGTACTGAATTTGATTAAAAATTATTTCAATATTAATTTGTAAGAAATGGAGATGTTCAAAAATAATATTATTACAGAATGATAGCTAACTTTTCTTTACTAATACTCTGTTTTTTTATATGATATTTCACATTCTTCGCGTCCTTTTTACATTTTTCCATTTATCTCTTTACGGTTCAGAAAGAAAGTAATATATAAACTTGTCACCGGCATGTGTATGAACTTATTTTGAGGTAAATATAAAAGCACAAAATAATGTATCTTTATTTTCTGACAATTTGCATATTTGAGTTCTCAACATTTACAACATACGCATTTTTTCTTAGAAAATTTGTAATCGATCACACGAATGATTGTATTCAGCTTC